GCCACTGGCCATTCTATAAAATCTAGACATTATATTACGAATGTACCGAAATCCAATATAACCTGGGCATGGTGGCAACCTTGTAATCGGGTGGGATGTCCTTTTAATGAAGTTGCTTCAATAAATTTCAGGAAATGACAGATCATGTTTCTCACTTGGTCGGGGTAACAAAACCGCCAGGCAACTTCGACGACCCTTCTTAGTACAGGCGCTAAGCGGCGCGGTAGGACAAATGAAACGATGATTGCCGGGTGAAATAATCGACTTTTTTTATTCCTAAGGAAAACATTACCTACATGAAGGGGCACAGAAGTTGAATATGAAAAAGTGTCATAATTTTCAAGCTGAGAGTCACACATCGACAGAGGATGCGATCTTTGATGTCTTATGACGTATTTAACCACGAATACTTTTATTACACATTTATTTACCAACTGGAAAACATTATATTCCCCGTAAAGCTTCATTATCACAGGAAATACAAAGTTCCGTCATCTGTACCCCAGTGTTATTCTCACGACACAATTTTAGTAACTATCCCCACGGTCTTGATGCAATTTAAGTAGCGACATGCGAAGAAGCATAAGGTGGGTAGGTACTACATTTTCAGAAATGGCTGCAAGTCACAGTGGTTTCATTTGGTTTTGTTCGTATGCTTAAATATATGCGCATTCACCACAATTTTGAAAAATCGCAACGAATGAACGAGTAAAGCCTAGTGCCTAGTTCATATAGATGTGCATCGCGAATTGCGAATGTGAATTCAGTTGATGAAAATTAATACTGTCCATGCAGACTCGAATTTCACAATAATTTTGGGAACATTTACATTTACTTTTCTATGACTTACTGGGATGTTGGTACCTTTGATAAATTAAGGCAAAAAACGCAAGATATTAAGAGATTTTTAAATAAGGATATGAAAGCTGTCACTTGTCACGTCACAAAATTGACCAATAGGAGTATTATTTGTTTTATTCGGAATCTAGATTCACGCCTATATGAAGTAGGCGTTAATGTACAAATATTCAGTCATACAAGATGTTAATGAAGAACCTGGCAACTTTCATTGGGTGATTTCAAGAAATAAGTACATATAAATAAATATAAGGCCATTCATGTTTGTCTTTATCTTAATAACCCATTAGCCGATAATTAAAATTTGTTGCGACAGTAGGTGCACCAAGACAAATGCACCGCTGAAATTACAGATAAATTCAAATAGGAAAAACTTGTTAATTAAACCCAAATTTCCAAAGGGACAATCCAACGATATATATTAGCTATAATACAGTGTTCCTCCTAAACAATTTTAGTTATATTTGCTGTAGTACCTGCGTCTGCACCTCATTTCCAACAAATATTAACAGAACGGGCTAAGCGAATTTTCAAAAATGACCCTAAATCTCAAAGATGAATCATTATCAAACCTATAGAACTTTTCTCCTTAGGATAACCCGAAGAATAATCATTAGAAGTTTGGCGAGGTACTTTATTAACAATCTGTATGAATCGCTACTCAATAGAAACAAATTTTCTATAATTAGTTCTAATTACTATTGGGCTCTGAAACCTTCAGATGCAGACATCGTAAGGCCGTCAGAATTGAGCTAGCATTGAGTCAAAATTAACTAAAAGCGAAAAATGTGATAATTTGTATAATGAAGAATTAGATCAATCTTAATGTGTCTTAGCTATTTAAATTTCCTTCACGGCGTCGCTTTTATTTTGTTGAATTGCAAACCGGCTTATACATGTGTTTGTTCAATGTGGATCAGAGTTTAGAATTTTAACACCCCGTAGGTTTTTTCAAATCAGATCTTCGGGCGTGGCAAGAAGAGTCATTGACATCCTTCAAGGGTTTGTAACATGAATAAAGTGGAGCTAAATATTTTAGAAAACCCAGTAACCTGAGTTATAGAACCGTCATCGCATAGATTTCTTAAAACATTCCGGGGGTTCTTAAAATAAAAATAACTTTTCCGACATGATAGCGTTTAGCAAACACGGTATTGTTTTAAGCGCATTAAAAAAGATAATGTTTCGAAGAAGATCGGAATTTTTCCATGCAGTTGTCTATTTGAGTAATATTTATTATAATCTTTCGGTTAAACAAAACGTTATGCTTTCTGCAACAAATTCCTGTAAATGTGTTCTAGCGCGTAAAAGAAAAGATGTGAATCTACGTTTAGTTTCTCTTACAACCGCTCACGAAGGTAGCAGAAAGTATCAATTTTGAAAAAGCCTCTCAACTAGAATTTATCAAAAACTATGACTAAAGAATATTTTTGATGAATGAAATAACATTTGGAAGAGTATCTCAATGTGCATCCTAAGATGATCAAAACGTTCAAAAGCATGCAATGGACTTTTTTAAATATCTTAACAATGACAAGAAGCTAGACCCAATACTCTCCCACCAAAGGTTTTTTACTACGCCATACAGTGAGCAGTGATCAGAAAGTTGAAAAACGTGAAAAATATAACTGAGGCGTTATTAAATTTTTACCCCGAACACTACGCTCAAAATTCATCAAGTAAATAACATCCTTTATTTCAAAGAGTAATATTTTTTACAATAACGACAACAAGCAAAAATTTGTGCTTCACAGCAGCTCACAATAAAAGAAAAACAAACCTAATTATAATAACTTTAAGCACTGTTACCTCTCATATTTATGACAAGTGCTTTCATGAAATGCATCTTTTATTTGATTTGGTAACTCATTATATTCCTCAGACCTTCGTACATGATTGTTCTCATTGTACACACTGTATTGATATTAATTAAATGAAAATAGGAGTTGGTTCTGGTGTAATAGGTACGAATTTCATTGTTTCTCCGCAGGGGTACAGCTAAACAATTAGTTGAAGTTCCTTTTACAATTTTAAATACAAATACCAAAGATGTTGGCTTAAAGATAACCACTGTAGAGTATTTAACATGTCTTCAATTCATGTGTACCTGTTGCATTGCAAAATTACCCGCATTCCCGTATTTTGTAGTTTTTGTAGTGTGCGTGTGCTTATTTTATTCTTGCTGACGAATTACAATAAAGATGAACAGTGCTGAAATTGGGGTTTTATTATTGTATTATAAACTGAAGCTCTTGCAAATATTGACAGCTGTTTAGAAGTTCTGGAAAAAAATGAAGATTCATTGAAATATTCTTAATAATGTAATCTATGACTGTTAAAATTTAGGTTTCTGAGTATCATCAGACACTCGAAAGGAGTCGAACAAAAAGCTTGAGGATGGCTTCAAACGTTCCCAGTACCGGATTAACAATGGTAGCGACAGTGACAAATGCTACAGGTTCCGCGCATTTGAGGTCCCAGTGCATTTGAGGGTCCCACGCTCTCGAAGGCAACTTTGACATTTTTGCCGAAATCTGGTCCATCTTCGAATATTTAAATTAATATTATACGTCATATACAAAGGTTACTAAAAATTTTGCAATATAACAACAAACGGACGCAGGAGGCTGCATGTTGAGACATGTCCATGAGTGCATAGTAGCCGCCAGCAGCACGTCCGTTGACTTAGTTGTTCATTCGTATTGACAGTGATATGAGCGGACTATGGCATCGTGGTCACGTAGTGAGATAAGATCAGTTTTACGTTATAACTTTAAGCGTGGTTTAAACATAGACTAGTGCTTAGAAGACATGACGCTTGCATTAAAGAATGGAGGAAAGGAAAGCGGTTTTCTAGCGATGGGACCTTCTGAGCGATTGGGTTAACGAGGGTGCCGCACTTCCCGGTGAAACGTGGCAGAGCTGGTTTAAGGACTGGTTTTGGCGGATGCAGAAGTATATTGAATGTGGTGCAAATAACTTTGAATGAAGTCAATAAATAAAGCTCTATTGCAAAACTTTTATAGTAGGTACATTTGTATGATTTGTCTCTAGAAGTACCAAGTGTTGCAACCATATGCATTCATAAGTTAGATATTTCAAAATAGGTGAATTTTGAACCAAAATGGCAAAATTGCGAACGATGAGACAACGAAGTGATAAAGTTGAGAAAATTTTAACTAATGATTAAAAAGCACATGTGCTAATATCTAAAATATTTAAATGCAAAAATTTCATAGATGTTAATTCGTAGTATTTTCAAGGGCCAAAAACCTCGCTTATAGACCCTAATCCTATACTATACTGCGTATTTAGATAAATATCAGTAAAGTGTAAGAATCTGGGTCTGAGAAAGTTGAGTTCATAATTCTAGATTTTTTACAACTAAATAAATATAATTATTACGACATAACAGAGTGAATGAGGCCTAAAATAAATGACATTCTGTCTTTAGTTGTCGTGAATCAAAACGCAGTAACATGTCAGATTTTACAAAAACAAATTTACTGCATTTTTGGTAATTTTCTAATCTATTTATATTATGTATTTAGGAGAAACGCAGTAATGCAGAATTTTATTTTATTTTAATATAATTTGTTTATATTGAAATACACAAACATTGCACAAAACTAAATATTTTCAACATCTAATAATTCAATTTATTAAGTATATATGTAATTACTTTGAATAACAGGATGTTTTCTTATGTTGAGTTAAACGTATACTATTTTTCAAAATTCTTCTTTCGGAGCACAAGTAATTATAACCATAAATACTTATTCACAAATAATAGAATTATGGCATAAAAAACTAAGTAAGTAAACATGATAATATTATGGTTATAAAGGGTAAAAAGGCAGTAATTGTATCATACAGAAAATGCAAGCAGTACCTCTAGTTTAAAAACTACTGATTTTTCACTTAGATAGATTGATTTACTGCTTTTATTGTTAGTAAATGTAATTAATATGAAATATTTGACTATTTTTGTTAAATAACGTGATTAATGGTATGATTGTATTTGTAATAATAAAATTAATGTATTGGTGACAAAATTTAAAAAATACAATACATGAACTTTACTGGCTTTTACCTAAGTACGGCAGTACAACTATCATTATTAATAAAATTACATTACTTACATATTGTAAACCCGGCCTGTTTACCCTTGTTTCGGTTTGGAAACCAAACAAACCACACGCTAACGTATAAAATCGCGTCGCAGCTTCTTCAGCGCGCTAAAACCGTATCAAGTATATCAAGTTAGCTGGTAAACTGCGGGAAAGCTTGGAAAAAATGAATGGCGCGAAGTCAGGAAGGTTGACGTGAACTGGCTCTGAAAAATGATGTGATGCGAATCGAGAGCGCACTCGGCGTATACAACATCACTATAACTTCTGCTCGGGGTATATACAGGATGATTCACAGACGCTGCCGCCAGATTGCGGTTTTGTTAATCGGAAATGACTGTTGCGTCAGACGCTACGACAGACCTAGCGTCGCTACGCGCTCAGATCGGATCGGTTGGACTACCTGTGAAAGGCGCATTCTATGCAGTGGAGGTTGGTATTCGGTACGTGAATTGTATATTGTTATTGGTTACGTTAAATGCCTTTATAACGCTATTGTCTTTAAGTTTCAGCCACACAAAGATTTACCTGAAAAATCACACAAAAATCTTACACGGAATGGCGTTCAGCTAACTTTCTTTTTTTTTAATTCAGTATGTACGTCTCAACACGAAGGACAAATGTGGTTTTCGAAGAGCAATTCTATCGCACGTACAGGGGTGCGTTAGTAAATCACTTGGTGAGGTAATACCATACACAGTAAAAGAATGAAGATTGACAGATAGTATTTTACTCTGGAATACTGTGAAACTTTATTTTAAGAAATTATAACATATAATCAAACTTGATTACAGCCGAATGATTTCTAACCACGTTTTCTGGGACCATTTTATTTATTATGAGGAAAGCTATGGATGCGGGGCAGCTCATTCATCGTGTCAAATATATATTCTGCAATATCGAACACTTTTTGATAACCAAATACCAAATAAGGTAAATAAACAATGAATCATGACACTGACAGGTGACAACACTCTTATTTCCAAGGTTTTGAACTCGGGATGAAACACTTTTGACGTTCCAGAATGATTACTTTGTTTTCCGAACGCATGGAACAGGTACGTCAAACAATTACGAACGCAAACATTGTTACGAGTAGTACAAAGTAAACTATACAACAATTTATGAACGCAGCTTCAGTATTTATGATTTCAAATAAATATTTTGGTAATCCTATATAATTTTCATATATCTTATCAACAGGACCTCATAAAACTTCTTACTTCATTTGTATTATAGACTTTTGATAGATATAAATCATATAACCATAAGTCGGCATTTAGCGACGTTAGCCATATGGGATTTAAAATGGCGTTTTTGCTTATTATGTTTCTCTCATTGAGCCCTTTCATTTGATACACACGTCATAGCGATGACCATGGAAATTATAAATCGCCATTTTGCGGCGGCTGCCATATTAGATTCAGAAAGTCGTTACTTTGCTTATTGCATTTCTCTCATGAAGCCCTTAAGCCTGATACCTATATTCTTAGGGTTGACTATGCTACTTATAAACGCCATCTTGGAGCGGTAGCCATATTATACGAGTATTTAGAATGACGTCACTCTGCTTATTATCCTTCTTTCATTGAACCCTTTCATTTCACTCCCATGTCGTAGGGGTGATATGGAAAACTGCCAATCGTCCTTTTGTGGCGGTCACCATATTAGATTTTGAATGACGTCACTCTGTTTATTGTGTTTCTTTCAATGAACCCTTCCATTTCACACTCATGTCGTAGGGGTGATATGAAAAATGTAAATCGTCTTTTTGCAGCTGCCGCCATATTGGATTTAGAATGACGTCACTTAGCTTGTTGCGTTTCTTCCAACATGCCCTTTTATTTGATACCCATATCACCCATCGACTACGAAAAGTGTAGATCGCCATTTTCCGGTGGTCGCCATAGTAGATTTAGAATGACGTCACTTTGCTTATTGCATTTCTTCCATCAAGCATTTCGTTTGATATCCATATCATAGAGTTTGCTATGGGAATCCCCATTTTGTATCATCCGTCATGTTGGATTCAAAATGGCGCCAGTTGATTCATTTTGTATTGCCACGCGAACCAACCGAGTACACAAAATTTCAGCTGAATTGGTTAACTAACTAGTACCAAATTGAGTTCGAAGGTTTGTCCAACAGTTCAAGTTAAATCAAAAATATAAAAATATCAATGAAAGTTAAAAATATACTAAGTGACATATAAATCCGAACACCCAGTTTAAATGGTTTTATTTTAATAAAATTTTGTATAAGTACTTAATGAAGCATAATAAGTAAATGATAAAAATTTCAAAGCCCTTTGACCTTTAATAATGTGTGGATGCACCCTGATGTGCTACGCATTCTCCAACGCGCCTAGGCATGCTTCTGATCAGGTGGTCAATGTCCCCCTGTGGTATCTCATTCCAGGCAACCACCAACTCCTCTTGAAGTGCTTCTAGAGTCTGAGGAGGACGTTGCAAATTGAGCAATCTCCTACCCATCATATCCCACATGTGCTCAATTGGGGATAAGTCGGGAGATCTTGGTGGCCATGGTAACAATGTGACATCATTATGTTGAAAGAAGTCTATTGTGACTCTTGCAACATGTGGTCGGGCATTAACTTGTTGGAAAGTTGGATCTGCCAGGTTGTCAAGATAGGGTAAAAGATGGGGTTCTAGAACTTCGTGGATATAACGCCGCGCGTTCATGTTACCTCTGATGAAGATTAAAGGTGACCTGGAACCATAAGCTATAGCACCCCAAACCATAACTCCAACAGTGTGATGAACATGTCTTTCAACAAAAAACTGTGGATTCCTCCTTTCACCACGTCGCCTTCTAACCCTAGCACGACCATCGTGCATGCCTAAACAAAATCGAGACTCGTCACTAAAGACAATACTGTTCCATTCCTGATCCCAGAGTGACCGTTGTCTGCACCACTCAAGGCGATTACGTCGGTGTTCTCGAATTAAAGGGAGGACCCAGTGTGGCCGGTATGAAAACAAGCCAAAACTTCTCATTCGTCGGTAAACACTTCGCATGCCAATAGGTCTTCTGTGTTCTGCAAACCATTCATTTGCAATGGACCTGGTAGTGGAGAAACGGTCCCTTAAGGCCAATAATCTTAGGCGGCGATCTTCACGGTCTGTTGTTCTACGGCGGCGTCCAGTGCCCCTTGCTCTTTGCGTACGGCCTTCTCGAAGCCATGCCTGACAACACCTAACCACAGTGTCTACACTTCTTTGCACTCTAACTGCAATTGCCCGAAAAGAAAGTCCAGCTTCCCGAAGTCCCACTATACGGCCCCTATCAAACTAACTAAGTTGATGAAATCGTAGAGGTCTCCGTACTCTAGGCATCGTAACCGATCGTAAAGGATGTCAAGAACCAAAATCCGCCAACGTTGATTCTTTACTGCGGCTGAAATTTTCATTTTTAGAGCGTTAGTGAATTAAAAAAAGCAGTATAAAAACCGGGATGTCCAACTGATAAGGCTGAAAATTTTTTACTTGTTATTTACAGTAAGATAAATACATTCACCAACTTTTATTAAAATAAAACCATTTAAACTGGGTGTTCGGATTTATATGTCCCTTGGTATACATGTGTTCTGAAATATTTAAATGGAAACATTCCAGAAATACATTTAACTTGAAATTTGAAAAAGCCGTGTACGGGCCATGATCCTGTGGATCCGTTAAGATGTGATGAACATTTCGTGATACAAGCATACTATGATTGTTAATCAATACATGTGCAGAATAGTCATTAGAGGAGAGCAGCTTCATGAGAGGAATCTTGATGTATACGTTGTTCTAAAAACAAATCCGATTCAATCTGATATCAAATTTGCTACGCACATTTGCTAATTCTAATTATAAACATAGAAGATAATTACGAAATTAAAAAAGTGTAATCACAGATACGTAAATATTTCAAGAGATAGCTATCGTTCTAAATATAGATACACAATTTGTTAAGCTGTCAAAAGATATACATGAAGAAACTTTCTCTTGAAAATTGCGATATCTATTACATATTTTGCAAGTAGTCTAATTCACTCACGTATTTGAACCGTTTTCTGTACCGTTCTATATTTACTGCTACAAATAATAACTTTATCAGTTTCTAGGTAAATGCACGTAACTTGCAAGAGCCTCATTTTGGAGAATCTGCTATTCTACCGTGCTAAGCACAATGGGGGTATCTGCAATCTTTGGACAGTGGTTATTAAATAACTTGTAAATCAATGTTATTTTCTCTGCCCATTGGCTAAGTTTTTGGACAATACGGTAACGGAAACATCGTTTTTACTGTCTAAACTGTAATTTATTACCTTTACACAAATTTAAAACAACACTTGCAACCAATGCGTTGCAAATTTATCACTATGTCGACTGGACTAAGGCATTCCGCGTTTTTGACTGCTTTCCAGATAGAATGCGAACCTTCATCGAAGCTTGTATGGACGGTTCTCGATGGGGCTAGATGCTTCCCGATGGGTGTCGAACGCGAACCATAAACGGTCGCGTAATTCTGGTTGCCTAAGCGTCGATGTTGCGAGGGCGTCTCATCGGTACCCCAAAGTTATAGTTTACAAGTGCGCTACAATACAATAGTTCACTTACAATCATACATTTTTATCTGACGTATCTGCGTAAATGAATCAACAGTTAAAACTTTTAGGCACCTTCTCTTGGTTTCATGTTAGCTGCAGAGTGTTTTTTTGCAAAAATTCATTTTCAAATACGAGTATATCTTTAATTTCACATACCCATTCTGTATTTTCAAAATATATCAACCCCGTCTATCACTTCTTTTAACATTTATTTAAATACATTCTCTTCAGCCGGCTTCTATCTCTTTCTAACATGTGTTGATATATTTAGATGTTTTTCAAAAAAGTATTCTTAAAATGATGTTTAAAAAACCGAAACTTTATCCCACTGGCAAATTATACGCAGATGTTCGAATGTATGATATAAGACACCTTTATTTCTTACACAGTATCACTCACTACCATAAATTTGTAAACACCGACCAAAAAATTAAACATAATCATTACACAAGGTACAAAATTCGTGGCACAGTAGTTCCTCAGCCGCATAAATCTATAATGCAGCGGTCATATCTATATTATTTAGTGCCAAAATTTTATGAAATTATACCTAAAGACTTAAAATATTTACGTTTCGGAAATTGTTTTAAAAGAAATTTGAAAAAGTGGCTACATTCTATATCTAGGACTGAAATTCATAAACTCATAAATACGAACATCAAGCAAATACATAATCTAATTTTTGTCCTTTTTGTCATTTGCATTCTACAGTTGCAACTAAAAATTATTGGTCCATGTACAGGCAATGTCTCCTATTGGGCCTGTTTTGATTTTATATTTATTTAATCATGTTGTTTGTTCTCTTTGTACATTGAGTGAATAAATATTATTATTATTATTATTATTCTCTCTCGTACACAGTGAACGCCGTCAGACAAATTTGGTTTGCCCTGTATGTTGCATTTAACATTACTACGTTACTTTCACAATCTCTAATTTTGTTGTGAGATCATAGTACAATTTTCATGGAATCTTCGAGATGAATGAATTTAGTATTATTTTGCAAATATATATTTTTTATAGCCTGAAGGAATTATTCCAACCATGACTAACTGAACCATCTATGTCTAAATAATACAGCAAGTAAATAAGGTCAAAAGTTGCAACCGATCGTGCAGAAATCGATATCCAATGAAACTAATAAAAATATGGGAAAAATGCATATGTGTGTTTACGATTATTGTCCAAATGAATTCCGTGGGTTATCCATTAAATAATAATGTAATAAATGAATTACTACTTTAGCGGATTTAATAGGAGCGAGTATCGGTATTTATGCAGATCCCCAGGTTGACGGATGACAGCACTTTGCATATAGTCAGGGTTGTTATGTTTTAATCAAAATGTTTAAAACAAGAGTTTTAAACACTGTTTAAAACAATGAAGGTGTTTTAAACCAATT